AGGCACCAAAAGAGGCAACATGAATTAAGAGGTATATCGCTAACTGGGGATGAAAGAATGCACTTGTCGTGATGAGCGCCAGTGTTGTATGCAAGTGTTGAATCACTATATTGTACACCTGAAACTAATATTACAGTGAATGTTACCTAGCTGGAATTTAACTAAAAACTCTAAAAAAAAAAACCAAGAGGTATGTCACATATAACTGACATTTTCTCTTCATTTTCCCACTCACTGGAGGAAAAAATAAAAGAAAATTATAATTTGCTCCTGTTCTACTTTTCAAAACTTCGTAAATGTATATAATTGTGACTCTTAATCTTTTCTTTAAGCAAAAGGGATGGTGCCACTGCATAAGTTGATGAAAACTGGACATGATTCTAAAGGTGAGTCTGTTCCTAGCAGATAGTAGGGTATCTGCTGAAGGGATGAATGGATGCATGTATGCATTCATTTAAACAATCAGTTAGTGTCTACCATGTGCCAAGCCTTATTCTACATGTTTAGGACAAAAATCCTTACCCTCATGGCACTTACACTCTAGTGAAGAGATATATGCACCAAAAAGAATAAGATAATAGTATGACAGAGATTACAGAGATTAAAATAAAGCAAAGGTACTTTTCCAAAGAAGACATCCAGATGGCTAACAGACACATGAAAAGATGCTCAACATCACTCATCATCAGGGAAATACAAATCAAAACCACAATGAGATACCACCTCACACCTGTCAGAATGGTGTTGGCAAGGATGTGGAAAAAGGGGAACCCTCTTGCATTGCTGCTGGGAATGCAAACTGGTGCAGCCACTCTGGAGAACAGTATGGAGGTTCCTCAATAGTTAAAATTAGAACTACCCTATGATCCAGCAATTGCCCTACTAGGTATTTATCCAAAGGATACAAACATAGTGATTTGAAGGGGTACATGCACCCCGATGTTTATAGCGCATTATCTCCAATAGCCAAATTCTGGAGAGAGCCCAAATGTCTATCAACTGATGAATGGATAAAGAAGATGTGGTATATATATACAATGGAATATTACTCAGCCATCAAAAAAATGAAATCTTGCCATTTGTAACAACGTGGATGGAGCTAGAGTGTATTATGCTAAGTGAAATAAGTCAGTCAGAGAAAGACAAATACCATACGATTTCACCCATATGTGAAATTTAAGAAAGAAAACAGAAAACAGATGAACATATGGGAAGGGGGGGAAAAAAAGGAGAGAGGGAAACAAGCCATAAAAGACTTTTTTTTTAAGATTTTATTTATTTATTTCGAGAGAGAGTGCAAGCGGGGGGAGGAACAAAGGGGATGGGAGAGGGAGGGGAAAGAATCTCAAGCAGACTCTGTGCCGAGCACAGAGCCTGACATGGGCTCGATTTAACACCCCCGAGACCATGACCCGAGCTGAAACCAAGAGAGTGTTGGTCAGTAGACTGAGCCACCCAAGCGCCCTGAGACTCTTGACAGTAGAGAACAACCTGAGGGTTGACGGGGGGAAGAGGTTAGGGGATGGGCTAGATGGGTGATGGGTATGAAGGAGGGCACTTGTTATAAGGAGCACTGGGTATTGTATGTAGGTGATAAATCACTGAATTCTACTCCGGAAACCAATATTGCACAGTGTGTTAACTACCTAAAATGTAAATATAAAAAGTGAATAAATAAATAAAGCAAGGAAAAGGGGTGTAGGGAATTCTGCAAGTGAGGGAAAGTAATCAAGAAAGGCCTTGCTGATAAAGGACACTTAAGCAAAAAGATAAAGAGGTAAGGGAGTGAGCCATAAATAATCTGAGGCAAGAGCACTCCATGCAGAGGGCAGAGCAAGTGTAAATGCCTTTATACAAGAGCATGCTTGCAGTATTTGAGAAAAAGCTAATTGGCCATTCTGGCTAGAACAGAGTGAACAAGGGCAATGTAGGAAGAGATAAGGTCATAGAACTAGGTGACAGGACCATCACATTCAGTCACATAGTCTATGCAATGCACAATTCCAGGGTTGTACAATAAGATGTCCCAATAAGGAGGTGATGCAGGTGCAGCCAGGAACAGATCATATAAGCCTTGAAGGCTATTATAAAGGTAGGATTTTACTATCACTCGATAAACTTTGCTTTGCTGCTCACAAAAATAAATAAATAAATAAAGGTTGGATTTTTACCCTGAGTGATAGGAAAATACTGGACGATTTGAACAGAGACATGACATGATTTGACTTAAGTTTTGAAAGGATTATCCTGGCTTCTATGTGTAGGATAGATTGGCAGGTAGTGGATAAGGCAAGAGCAGAAGCAGGGAGACCAGTTAGACCAGAACAACAGGTAGAGGTGGAGATGGTGGAAAGTAATTTGATTACATATATATTTTGAAGATGGAATCAACAATATTTCTGGCTAGATGTATTCCCTGATGTATTCCAGGGCCTAGAACAAAATAGGCACTAAAAAATATTTATGGAATGAATGGATTGGATTAGATGGGTGGCTCAGTCCGTTAAGCATCTGCATTCTGCTCAGGTCATGATCCCAGGGTCCTAGGATCGGCCCCACATCAGTCTCCCTGCTCAGCAGGGAGCCTGCTTCTCCCTCTGCCTGCCGCTCCCCCTGCTTGTGATCTCTCTCTCTCTCTGACAAATAAATAACAATAAAAAAAAATACTAAACCGGGGCACCTGGGTGGCTAAGTCGTTAAGCATCTGCCTTGGGCTTGGGTCATGATCCCAGAATCCTGGGATCGAGCCCCACATCGGGCTCCCTGCTCAGCAGGAAGCCTGCTTCTCCCTCTCCCACTCCCCCTGTTTGTGTTCCCTCTCTCGCTGTGTCTCTCTCTGTCAAATAAATAAATAAAATCTTTTAAAAAAAATACTAAACTGTATGCTTAAAATGGTTAAGATCATAAATTTTCTTTTTTTACCACAATTTGAAATAATAATAATTAAAATAATAATATTAATATGTTTCTCAACAATCCCATCCAATAGGAACTGCCATTATTCCCATTTTAATCTTGGTAGGCCCTAACATAGTAGGCCCTTATTAAATACTTGTTTAATTAATTTGTAAATTAAACCATCCCTTTCTTTTCCTTTGTATCCCAAAGCGGAATAGGAGGCAATGTACCAAGTTCAGAAAGACTAGGGAAATGTCAAATTATGCCCACAATAAACAAACTCTGAGAGCAGGAATAGAAAGCCTCTAGAACTGCAGCTACTAAGTGAGGCCTGAAATAATTTGGGGGGCTCAAGCTAAACATTGGGTGCCAAAGGTATCTGTGCTTGGCCATGATGAAGACTAAAGACATGCCTAACTCCTGTCCTAGATGATTTACAATGCCATGAGACATGTGAGATCTTGAATACTAAGGTTTCTAATTAAAACAATCATAATCTTTTTGTAATTGTTCTTTTTAAATCACTCTTTCCAGTAATACTATAGTCTACAAGCCTATGAGAGTTTGGGATACTTTTGTCCTTCCTGGGCTTAAGCAATTAATGAAATGGTACTTAATCACCATTCAATCAAGGCATTTAGGTAAAATTTTTCATTTGAACAACTTCCAACTGACTAATGTTTAACATGAAACTATAGTAATACAGAATTAAAACAAAAAAACCCAAAAAACCAAAAAACTTCCCCTTCCCTGAAATCCCCACAGTGTCAAAATGTTCTCACTCTGTAATTGACACCCACACATCCCCAAGGGTGCTAAACAGACCACATTGAAAACATGGTTGCTCTAAACCTGGAAGGAGCTTGTAGGTCATTCTCACCTGGGCCTGAGCCTGAGAAGTGAATGAGGTCACAGTTGTATGATGGAACAAACCCTTTATTGGATTCTTGATCTGATTGAAGCCCAGAAGTGGTAGGTAGCATGGCTTAAAAGTAGGCAAATATCTGGATTTTGTAGGAATCTATGCTGAGTCCTTTTTTTTTTTTAAATCTCTCATCTCTATGAGAGATTGAAGGTAGTTTTTTTAAAGTAATGATTATTTTTGCACCATGAGGATGATTTCACAGCCCCTTTCAAGTGCCTAAATTATTGAGCCTCTCCGGAGTTCCCAGCTCTGTGGTAGGTTTCCAGATTTTGAACACGTGTAATTGAGTTGTTTAGAAACAACTGGCTTTCCAGGCTCTGAGGTGAAGACCTAGGAAAATGGACCAAACTGTAATTACACATTCAAAGACTTTCTTTGTGGTTTCATAGTATTTGTCTATCATTCCTAAATCAGCAACCCAGTATTCTTTAATACAGTCTACACTTTGAAAATTGCAATTGGAGAGGTAAAACCACCAATAGAAGGGGGAAGCCCTACCAACCCAGCTCCTGGTCCATAGGCCCTGATACCCAAACTGCTGAAGTGGAAAGGCAGGACCAGGGAGGCTCTAGTGGTTAAAAGTTCATTCAGGAGGGTCTAGGGTGGTGAAAGAGCATTGTATCCCACCTCTGCTCCTACATTTGGGTTCCCATACAGTGGGTTCATAAGAACTGACAGGGCAGGGATGGACCTCCCAGAAGGAAATCCTAGAAAATATTTATTACCAGGCAGGTATCCAAGATATAAACAATTAGGTAAATATTTTAGAAATGCTGTAACATTTTATTCTCTGTCAATTATAATATGAAATGTTCTGATTTAAAAAATAAATTTTGTCTTTATTTAAAATTATTTAAATAACTTTTTGCACATATTTCCAGGATGCTTTATCTATGCCATATGGTATCACTTATTTTTATATATGATTAGAATGACACTATTGGGGGGGGGGAGACAAGGATAAGACATTTTGCTTAGAGATCTTGGGACAGTGAAGAGATCCTTCCACATGGCCTTCCAACTTTGCACATACCTCTAACTTGAATTTGCACATATTACTATTCCTCAAGGCCCTGGACTTCAAAATCTAGGTCTTGAGCTAGGAAAGTTGCAAAAGAAAATAGAGGAATTAATCTGTGATTTGATCCTATTTGTATCTTCTGAATTCCAGACAGAGTTATTGGCCCCATGGCGGTTTCTGACATTAAATCAAAATTTAAGCTAAATCCTCTAACAAAAGTACCCAGCTCCCATGGCAAGAGGTAAGTAATGAATATATTCGGGTGATAGATTAAGGTAAAGAATTATTTTTTTTAAGATTTTACTTATTTACTTATTTAGGTGGCTCAGTCAATTAAGTGTCTGCCTTCAGCTCAGGTCATGATCCCAAGGTCCTGGCATTGAGTCCCACGTTGAGCTCCTTGTTCAGCAGGGAGCCTGCTTCTCCCTCTGCCTGCCGGTCTCCCTGCTTGTGCTCACTCTCTCTCTCTCTCTCTCTCTAACAAATAAATAAAATCTTTTACTTATTTAGAGAGAGAGAGAGCACGTGCATGCATGAGCAGGGGGAGGGGCAGAGGGAGAGGAAAGAGAGAATTTCAAGCCAACTCTGCTCTAAGCACAGAGCCCGACTCGGAGCTTGATCTTATGACCCTGAGATCATGACCTGAGCCGAAATCAAGAGTTGGACACCCAACCAACTGAGCCACCCAGGCGCCCCGAATAGATTAAGGTGAAGACTTATTAAGGTGATAAATATTATAAATAACCATAAAGGTTATGAGGAAACAAGTTAGAAGGCTCTTCAAGTACCTTGTGATAAATTTGGTTATAAAACCAAATATATGAATTGAAGAGAAAGGTTTTTTATGAAAAGAAAAAAATATATATATTCTTTTAGATTGAAGAAACAAAAAGTCCTCTTTCCTGTTCCCCCAAATGAGAGGGAATTTTTGTGTGGGGGGTCAGAATACCCTAGAGGGCTTAAGAAGTTGTCAGTAATACATTAAGATATTTTGAGTGCCAGTTTAAAGGAGAATAATGTTAGAGGATCAGAAAGAAGACCTAATCCCCTAAGCAAGTCAATATAGTCTATAGCTCAAATGTGGCCAGTGAAATGAAATCTGGGTAAATTAGTCATGACTAACCTTGAGCTAAAATTGGGAAGGGAGATTTGCCTGTGACATTAACAATAGCTTTTTTTCTCAGTCTGGTAATTACAAATTCCAATAAACCTCAGCCACTAATGACTGCAAGTAAGAGCCTGATCTATATTTTATCAGAGTGTAAGAAGAAAAGCCTCTCTTCTCTCTCAAACCAACCATTTTCTGTGCCACTTTGAGAGTATTTCCCCTAGTGCCCTTGACTATACCGCTGCTATAAGAATAGATTACTGACCTTTTTTAGATGATGGATATTTTTATTCCCACTTTTCAGAATGCCCAAAATCACCTAGCTACTAAGTGGCAGAGTTAACATCTCACCCAGGTCTGGTTGGTTCCAAATTCCATACTGTCTTCAGTTTACTGACCTTTTTTAGAAGCATGTGGGTAAGACAGCCTTACAGCTGCCAAATCCCTTGATCTCATGGTTCCCTTACCCTGCATTACAAGCTGTCTCTGGAACAAGTGACATGCTTGAAAGTAGTCAAGCAAAGACTTGACAATACCACACATGGAGGGAATTCCTACATGAGATGAGAGGCCAGACTGAGCTCATTCCAAAGCTAAGGTACTTCAAACCTTTGAAACGTTATAATTTAAAAAGACCGTTTCTCATGTGTGAGCCAAGATAAGATTTGAAATTCTGCCAAGAGTATCCTTTTTTTGATGTAGCTAGTAAAGACTTCATACTGCCTGGCCTTCTACTTTCCTCTTGCTTCTTGAGAACTCTATATTTCTCCATCTACTGCATCTTTTATGTCATGCGAAAGAAATTCGTTTATATTTAGAAATACAACAAATATAAAATAACATATCTGCGTAAGGGCCAACTTGAGTTTTCAGAGGTTCAAATAGGTGATAGAACAGAAACACCAGAAGAAGAAATTGGTATTAGTAAAAGCAGAGATAATAAGACTAATTAGGTAAAATTCCATGTCAAAAAAGGAATGGTGCATTTTGAGACCTTATCACATTTGTTTTTATTAGGTCCGTCTTTGAAAATGAGTTGAACTTACTAGATACTATAGAGGATGCTAAATTCATAAACCATAACTTTTTAAATTTAGCGTGTTTAGTATTTCTTCCCATTTCACTTTTTTAACTGCTTCTCGTAAAAACAAAAACTAAGAGATTCCATATTAAAACTTTTAGTTTAGTTTCACAGCTAAATATACTTTAAATAAAATTAACTTATAAAATCATGATTATTTAAGTCTACTTTTAAATGACCATATTATAAGCAAATCCAGTTTTGCGTAATATATTTTTTATATTCCTAAACTAATAACCTCCTGCAGATCTATATAAAATATCCCCAAAGTATTAATATGTTTTCTCTTTTTCCAGATTTTATTTTTCTGAGAAAATGAAAAGTCGCCCAGGGTTCCAGACTTTCCAGAAGCGCTTTCTGTCTCAGATGATTTGATAGATAGATAGATGATAGATAGATAGATAGATAGATAGATAGATAGATAGATAGATATTGATAGATAGATAGTTGATACACCTATAGATGATGTATAAGTATAGAATTGTAGTTATATCTACCTCTATCTAATATGCTGGTAAAAATACAGTTTGGCAGTTAAAGTCATAAGATAACTATGGTTACTAAGCTTTCAATATAAGGATATTCACCATAAGATTATTTATACCACTTAAAAATTTGAAACAACTTCTGTTTCTAGCAATAAGAATAGTGTAGGGCTTATATCCTTGAGCATTGGAGTCAGATAAACCTGAATTTGAATCCCATGACTTTCACCTATTATCTGTGCAATTTGGGACAAGTTATTTAATCCCTCTGAGCCTCAGTTTCCTCTTTTGTAAAATGTAGAAAATCAGATTTTTTTAAGGGTGTAAGGGCGATGGGCAGGTATAGGCCAGATGTGGACCTCAGTGGCCAGCATTTTCTCACTGTCCATCCTGTAACTATTGGTGAGTGACAGTAACAGGTCCCTTAGGAGGTGAGACTCTGGATATATTGTGATGCTTGCAGTCGTTCCAGTCAGCAAAAACTGATGAATGGAACTAATATTTGCTGGTTTCATATGTGTATTAAATCTTTTCATGTCTTTTGTCAGGGATAAAGATTTACCAGGATCTCTCCCCTGCCAAAGCAAAGCAAAGAAGCTGAATGCTTCACAAATGCAAGGTAATGACAATAAGCCCTCAAATGAAAGCACCAACTAAGGCCCCTTGATAAATCTGATCATTTTCTTCTCTAAGAGAGATCTGCAATTTCAAGAGTTATCTGTAGTACTCTGCTTTTTGAGAGCAAAATTTCTAATTCAATGTCTAATTTGTGGGAAGGAAGGGGGATTACTTTCAAACAGACATCTTCCTAGAATTTGGACAGTCCTGGACAAATAATTTTATTCAAATAAGAACTTGTGAGTATACAGAAAACAAATGCAAAGTCAAATAGAAATCAAGTAACGGAGCAGAGTATAAATAGCTATACTGGCTATTGTTTATTAGTCCAAACAGGAAATATTCATGTAAAGCCCACAGTATACTAAGCATGGGAAACATAACAAGTAACGAATCAGACATAGTCACTGCCCTGATAGGAAGTCCTTCAGGGAAGTCAGACCATTAAACCATGCATTTTTGACTGAAACATTTAAATCACAATATGATACAAGTTATGATGGGGAAGTATAAAGTGTTTGGGGAGCATAAAAGAAAGTCTCCTCGATGGACTCTGAAAAACAAACTGGGGGTTCTAGAGGGGAGGGGGGTGGGAGGATGGGTTAGCCTGGTGATGGGTATT